GTATATAGTCTTTTTATATAGAATTGTTATTAGTTAATTTTAATATGGATATTTATATTTTATTGTTTTTACTGTTTTGGATTTTAATTGTGAGCTGTCCAGAGTCGCCCTCTGGGGGAGATGGGCAGCATAAATTAGTTAAATAAATAAATAAATAAATAATATATTAAAAAAGGGGTGGGGCTTCAATCTCATAATCACAGCTGCCATCTTTAATTTTGAACACACAAACATGCACAGATACAAGTGGACACGCTGTATGCTCTTATGTTGTGCTTGAATAACTCCTTCAAAGGTCAATGTAGCAATATAACTCCTATAAAATTCATGTAATCATTCTCTATCCTGTTTTGGGGGAGAACATACAGGGAAACCTGCACTCTAGGCATTTTAGTGTCATTTTGGGAAAGATCACTCCATTAAAAAAGAGATAAAAAGATATACATTGAGAGCTGTATAATCATACTATTCATCAAGGGAGGTCAACAAGGTCAAAATGCCAGGTGCGGCTAGGCAATTGAAGCTCCACCCCTTTTGCGTGCATGTAAAAAGGGGTGCCAGATCATGCCTACTATTGCGAGTCTGTTGAAACACACACATTTGTGGACTGTCCTGCTATCCAGCTACAGACATTTGAGTATAATTCAGCATGGTGCATTAATATTTTTAAGGCTGTTGTATGGCAATTCATGCTAAGGATGGATTTCTTTGAACATGTCTCAGAAGTCAAGAGAAGTCAAGTCTCAGAAGTCATAAGCTACACTAGGCTGAATTTTCAGTGGCTAAGAAGATTGGTCTCAAATGTCCTGCTAAAATCCCTGGCTTTCCTCATGTCAGTCTGAAACAGGAGATTCAAATGGATGCAACATGCAAATGTCTGCAGGTCGTAGAACCTAACTGTATGGGTTGTATCTACCTGTTTATCTCCTACAGCAGAATAGACATTGCTGGCTGACTGAATTCCTCCTCTGCCCCTATTTCTGGTATGTACCTTACATGACCCAAAATCAACTCCAGAGATGAACAGAAGAAACTCCTGTTGCACAAACAAATGTTCATTCACATGATAAATTGATGTGAATGTGTGTGTGGGCATGCACATGCATGCATTTACATGTCATAATATGATGCATATGTTACTTTGGCATAGATTTTTTACAGTAAATTATCCAGCACAGCCCTGACCATGGGTTGTAGAGAATAGCTTTATCTAGTTCCACTTTCATTCCATTTGATCTTGAAACATAAGTCAAATCAAATCTTTATTACCATCATAGACCAGCATAAGAAGGGTGAGGTACAGTCATTAAAAAGCATAAAGAATACATCAAGAGTAACAATAAAAGTATATAAAATATATAAAAAGCTAGAAGATATAAAAGATATATAAATTAAAATCTAAAGGTATATATAAAATGTAAGAATCTAAAAGAAGGAGTAGAAGCATTATATGAGGGTAGGGAAGTATAAAGGGTTAGTATGTGGAAGACTATTTCAAGTTACAAGTGCGCTAATGTGGTGAACTAGGTGCTCGTTAAATCTAGTTTATAAAGTTGAGCCCCAAGCACAGGTTATCATCCAACAAATTTTGAGTACTGCTTCACAGAACCTGGCAACGTTGTATGTTGTAGCAGGGTTGTTATCTGAAAGCAACAGGATGGTGTAAAATTTTCCTCTGTTCCCTGGGTATTTATGTAGTAATTTTGAGATGAGGGTAGTGTGAATGTCTGTACTACAGGCCCTGAAGAAGCACATGCTCCACTGTTTCTGTGTATCCAGATTCACAGGGCATTGTCTCTCTGAGTAAGGAATCTTCCTGTATTGACCTTCAAGGACAGCTGAGGGGAGGGCGTGATATCGTGCCAGAATAGAAGCCCGTCTATAATCTAAACATAGACATGTGTATCTTACACAAATTGAAAATCATCTACAACACAATAAAGACCCTAAAATATCCTGGCTTCCACAGGAATGAGTTTCTGATCTCTGTTCTCGTACTCTTTAGCTTCTAGTTTCTATACTGCGTGCTTTATCATTTCTAGAAGAGAGTACAAAATGATAATCTTATGACTGTGGTATGTTTCCAGTATTTCATGAGATAAGTCCTTTGTCAGAAGAGTGCTTCCCTTAAAACCTTTATTGGTTCTTGTTCCAGCCACATGATTGGGATGCAAATCAATTTCTTACAGTTTATGACAGGAGATTTGATAATCAATACAGCATTTCTCACTCAAGGTGTGATTACTTCTGTTCATCTGTCTACCATCAGTTAGTATTTCCATATCTGTGTAGAAATAGGACTTTATACAGAGATGTTAATATGCCAAATGAGAACATTTTGCTTACTTTTACAGAAAGTATGTTAGTAACTCTATGTTGCTTGTACTAGAATGAATTTTCAGAAAGAAAAAGAATATAAACTATTGGATGAAGAATCAAGATCTCTTATTTTGGGAATGCTCTTCAAATGTGCCAACAACCATTCCAGATGATAGTGCACTGTGAAGACCAAGATACATTAAGGTGAGTGTCAGTATCTTAGTTTTGCCATAATGTTATTTAGGGAGTGCGGAATTAGCAAAGATAGAAGCCTTTCACCTAAGAAGTACTCTGCTATAACCTGTGGTTATATTTCAGTAAATGTTATTCATATCTTTTCATGGGTTCTAGATATTAATAATCATACACCTGTTTTCTTGTCTATAAATTCTGTCTAAGTAATTTCCTTGCAAGGTAAGTTTTTTTTTTTTTTTTTGCAATCACTTGGATGCAGAAATTATTATACATATCCATCCATATTAACCATATATTTTATAACCTGTGGTTATATTTCAGTAAATGTTATTCATATCTTTTCATGGGTTCTAGATATTAATAATCATACACCTGTTTTCTTGTCTATAAATTCTGTCTAAGTAATTTCCTTGCAAGGTAAGTTTTTTTTTTTTTTTTTGCAATCACTTGGATGCAGAAATTATTATACATATCCATCCATATTAACCATATATTTTATTTTGAAATTTAGAGCTCCCAGCTACTGAGAAGAAATTCTTTTAACATCATCTAGTTGATTTATTAATTCAATTTCTAAATGGCACACAGATAGTATCAAAACATCCATGTCAACTCAGCCAAGACTACCACATCCTAAAAACTCTGTGGTCTTGCTCATTGTTTAATTTTCCAGAAGCCGATAGGCTCTCCTACATGTGACCCTAACCAACAGAGATTTCACTGAAGAGGCAAAGGCAGCTTGAACGTTGGGAGGAAGTGACTTTGTCATCTTGGGTCAAGATGCTGCTGAAAGAGAAATCAGTTCATGCACATAACATTTCAGGATATCCAAGTTCAACAACCGTAGAGAAATACTGGGTCAGATCCCGTGGATAGAAATCCTGAGGTCAAAGAGGCTGCACGAGGATTGGGAACTTCTCAAGAATAAGATACTGGAAGTACAATTGCATATCATTCTAATAAGGAAAAATACAGCTGGCGGGGGGGCGTTTAGGAAACTACTGAAGATGTGTAGTCTTCTTTCCTTCCTTCCTTCCTCCCTCCCTCCCTTCCTCATTTTGAATGAGCTAAGAGTTAAAGGGGACATGTATAAGAAATGGAAAATGGACATAATCATCAAGGAATTATACCAACAAGTAGTAATATCTGCAGAAAGTTAGGCTAAGGCACTTAGGGGACTCAAGGAAATAAAAGCAACAAAAAGGACCTTTTGGCTAAGTCAGTAGTAAAAGAAGGAAAAAGGAAGTCATAGGCCTGTTCCTAGGATAGTAATAGGTGAAAGGAAGAGAGCAGAACTCCTCAGCACCTATTTTGATTCAGTCTTCTCTCCAAAGGGGATCTGTATTATCCCAAAGCTTATATTTGTTTAATC